TCCTGTATTAGAGGTGTCTTTTTATAAGGGCATTTCCGAAAAATTATCACGTTTATTTGGATATGTCAATTTTACAAAATCCGATGACGACTCATCCGGCGCATCGCTTTACGCACGTCACGGTGGTAGTGTTCTAAGCGACATAAAAATATCATTGATGCCTTGACGAAATGCAATTTTTAATTAATATTGACAACCATGCATTTATTCGGCTGTGATACCTGTATGTATTTGCTTTACTTGCAGTGGAACCTTCCAAATACTGAGCGTTTCTCAAATGAAATATGAAAGTTTAGTATAATCTTCGGAAATGTCAACCAAAGTGTTATGAAGAACGGCAAGGAGATTGCTTCATATTGCATACATATTATTTATGCAAGATTTAGCCGCCACCGAGTTGCCTTTCAGAACAAGCATTTTGACTGAAATTAGTTTATTGCTCAAGCGTGAATACAATACCTTTTCATTGTGAAAACTGATTCTAAAGTTAGTGGCCGAGTAATAAATGTCTTGCCTCTGCGAGCACAGATATTTTCGAGGTGTACTCTTTCTTCCTACAGCCATTTTAGTTTTTTCCTCTTTTTATCTTTTTTTGTTTTCGGAAGGCAACAGTAATGACCTATTTCAAAGCGATTTATTTCTGCTGTTGATAAATCATGATCATAGCTTATTTGAGAAAAATCTGTCGCTTCAGTCTCCGTGACGAGACCGTTCGAAAGATGTTTTGCGAAGTTAATTGATATCGAACTCTAAGACTCGAAGAGAACATGTAATCAAATACGAGTTCTACTTCTAAAAGCTTAAAGAAGAAAAGAAACATAATCGTGTATAATATTGTAGCATTCAATAAATGAGTGTTCAACGGTCGCCTCATTCTAATCACGAAAGTTAAAAACCTGGCCACAGAATTTAGAGAAATTTTAAAAATCACCACAAGATCTTAGCCATCGTACCGAAAGCACGCGTGGGTACAATTGACATCGATCGATTCGCTAGATTGCTTGAACGGATTATAAATGAAGTTTGAAAGCTCGTCGACCCAACCTTTTTCAAAGTTAAATGTTATTTTAAAGCAACTTATCAACACTCGCTGATCGCACATCATGTTCTTGAGCAGCTTTACGCGCGACTTTGTTGATTTAATACAGACGGCAAGGTAACAGTCATTTTCGAATAATTTCAAATCAAACCCTAAATTTCGCCATATTTTCCCTGACACTTAAAATATAAACAGAATGTCTCGTCCTAAATACCTTATAAACAGCCTTCTTTTGCAAGATCAGGGTAGACTGCAAAGTGATTGAAGTTCAATTGATCTTTGGCCACGAGGCTGAGTTATATAGAGGATTACGACGATCACGTGGTCATTAGCAATCAATTTCCTCCTGCTGCGACTCATTGCTTGATAATTTACCAACCTACCGCAAAACGGGCTATCTAATTATAAAAAACCGACAAAACCAAACTTATTACTCCGTTCAAATGACAGAGTATCATGACTACAACCGACCGAATTGGTGCGTTGAATAGAACGACTGATGTTTACATCGGGGCGATAATAAATGTGTACATCCTACTAACGTCTTAACAGCAACGTTTAACTTGCGGGGTGATGTTTATATTTGACAGAAAACGACTGTGCAATGTCTGCAAGAGACCACAAAGTCGTATATGAGAACGATCCTTCGCAGTAAAGCACTATTTGAGCAATAGTGGAAATCAGACCTGAAAAAAATTTCAGGCCTGTACGGGATTCGAACCACTGACCTCTGCGATACTAGTGCAGCGCTCTACCAATTGAGCTAACAAGCCAACTGGGAGCAGGCCATCAAATTAATTCGATATAAACCCGTAGATGATAAATCAAACAACAACAAACATATGAAACATATGTGTGAACTGCGGTTATGAGACGTATATGAGAACGATCCTTCGCAGTAAAGCACTATTTGAGCAATAGTGGAAATCAGACCTGAAAAAAATTTCAGGCCTGTACGGGATTCGAACCACTGACCTCTGCGATACTAGTGCAGCGCTCTACCAATTGAGCTAACAAGCCAACTGGGAGCAGGCCATCAAATTAATTCGATATAAACCCGTAGATGATAAATCGAACAACAACAAACATATGAAACATATGAGTGAACTGCGGTTATGAGACGTATATAAGAACGATCCTTCGCAGTAAAGCACTATTTGAGCAATAGTGGAAATCAGACCTGAAAAAAATTTCAGGCCTGTACGGGATTCGAACCACTGACCTCTGCGATACTAGTGCAGCGCTCTACCAATTGAGCTAACAAGCCAACTGGGAGCAGGCCATCAAATTAATTCGATATAAACCCGTAGATGATAAATCAAACAACAACAAACATATGAAACATATGTGTGAACTGCGGTTATGAGACGTATATGAGAACGATCCTTCGCAGTAAAGCACTATTTGAGCAATAGTGGAAATCAGACCTGAAAAAAATTTCAGGCCTGTACGGGATTCGAACCACTGACCTCTGCGATACTAGTGCAGCGCTCTACCAATTGAGCTAACAAGCCAACTGGGAGCAGGCCATCAAATTAATTCGATATAAACCCGTAGATGATAAATCAAACAACAACAAACATATGAAACATATGTGTGAACTGCGGTTATGAGACGTATATGAGAACGATCCTTCGCAGTAAAGCACTATTTGAGCAATAGTGGAAATCAGACCTGAAAAAAATTTCAGGCCTGTACGGGATTCGAACCACTGACCTCTGCGATACTAGTGCAGCGCTCTACCAATTGAGCTAACAAGCCAACTGGGAGCAGGCCATCAAATTAATTCGATATAAACCCGTAGATGATAAATCAAACAACAACAAACATATGAAACATATGTGTGAACTGCGGTTATGAGACGTATATGAGAACGATCCTTCGCAGTAAAGCACTATTTGAGCAATAGTGGAAATCAGACCTGAAAAAAATTTCAGGCCTGTACGGGATTCGAACCACTGACCTCTGCGATACTAGTGCAGCGCTCTACCAATTGAGCTAACAAGCCAACTGGGAGCAGGCCATCAAATTAATTCGATATAAACCCGTAGATGATAAATCAAACAACAACAAACATATGAAACATATGTGTGAACTGCGGTTATGAGACGTATATGAGAACGATCCTTCGCAGTAAAGCACTATTTGAGCAATAGTG